TTACTCGTGTAGTTTGTATCTTATATTCATTGATAAAACTGAAATGTCAATCAATATTAATGAGTATTATTTTGAAACATTCCAGATGCAAAACGTTAATGATTAATCAGTCTAGTCAATATCTGAATAACTTGCGAACAATGGTATATCAAAATATATCAACCCCATAAAATCTCAAAAACTTTTTATAGTCAATAACGATACATTGCGTATTAGAATGTCATGTCTCATGTCCCTCTCCATTCCCCATCCTCGCGTCCTAATTATTCAAATTATGTTGGAGTCTTTAAGTAACAACATAGCGCGAAAACCTGATGTTAACAGAACAGACAGTAATGCTTAGAAAACGTACATATAAATATACACTTACTCCCCCACGTGATTTTCACTTACTCCCCACGTGATTTTCACTTACTCCCCCACGTGATTTACACTTACTCCCCCACGTGATTTACACTTACTCCTCCACGTGATTTACACTTACTCCTCCACGTGATTTACACTTACTCCCTCACGTGATTTACACTTACTCCCCCACGTGATTTACACTTACTCCCCCACGTGATTTACACTTACCCCCCACGTGATTTTCACTTACTCCCCCACGTGATTTGTTTTATCATCGTGAGCGATTGCAATTAATCATTAAGTGTGTATAAATATACTCGTGAATATTCCTGTCACTGTGACGTCATATGTATATATATATATATATTACAATCAATCAGTTAGTTATTTCTAGTTTCTACACCTAAACTCTATATCCGTGTGTGTACACAAAACTGACATCACATTGTTCTCTATCGGATCAAACTTGTGTATTCTAAACAAATAATCGTCTTCATTTATTAATCCCGATCCGCTTATTGAATAAAACGGATTTATATGAGAGTGTAGTGTGATAGTAGTAAACGATTCCGGTAGCAATCGGCTTATAATGTGACAGTTTCATCTAATACTCCGAGTCACGAACGTGACATTTTCCCGGGAGTTCCTAAACGTCACTGAAATATATATAATTTTATGGTTTATACAAATGAATTTTTTTTTATCCATATTTTCTTTAAACTGTTTTCAAATCTTCAAAATTCCCTTAAGATTGCGTTCATTTGTACCGATTAATGTCCGTAATAATTATTACAACAAATTTAGAAAATAAAATTCCCAGCTTGTCAGTCATTAAGTATTAAGACTTTAAGTCGAATGAATACCCAATGGAGACTATCCAATCATTGTGGGACAATTACACAGAAAATGCTATATTTACCTCTATACAACACTATCAGTGGTTTTGTCATTATCTCCAAAAAATGTTTTCTTACTGGGCTGATTATGGGATTTTCCAGCAGAAGTATTTAACACCCGGTCTTTACTACTGATAAGTATAGGACATAGTAGCTGACCACAAGTGAATTCACTTTCCACGCCGTAACAAAGCTGTCAGAACTTCGGCTATTCTAAAATTGACCGCGAGGATTTAGGAGTGGACAATGGCTAGTATTTTCCGTATTCAACCTCTCCCCAGTGGTCGAGACTCTCCCTATTGTGTTTAAGCGCTCGGAGGAAGACTAGTCCTATGGACGAAACACTGCTACTAATTGGCGACTTTCCCACGACATTCATTTCAGGTTTATATTACCTGTATTTGTCAAAAACTATCTAGAAAATGTAGTCTGAAGTTTCCTGTGATATAAAAGGTGATGTAAATACTATATACTGTTGTGTCCTTTAGCTCAAAATCACAAGATAAAAATCAAATAAAGTACGTAAAGTATAAACAAACATGACAAAACACCTCTTTTAAAGTAATAAAACCGGAAAGAAAAATTAAGGAAGGGTAAAAGAGACAATTTTTTTTTTATTAAACTTTTCCGTGTGGATTCAGCTCCAGAGTTAGGAAACATTCCGTGTGGATTCCACTCCAGAGTTAGGAACTTTTCCGTGTCGATTCCACTCCAGAGTTAGGAAACTTTTCCGTGTGGATTCCACTCCAGAGTTCAAGGGAAACATTAACAAATGTGGATTTATTAGTTGTAACCACTCACAGAGTTTACAAACTTTTATGTGGAAAGTTACATAAATGTATGTTTGGAACTTTTTCATTACAGAATACACAAATCGATTCACACATCCAGTTATTTATTTCTGTAAACTTTTCCGTGTGGATTCCACTCCAGAGTTCAAGGGACTTGAAATGTAACAAATTGGATTTATTAGTTGTAACTCTGTAGCAACACAGATAGATATTACAAAAACATCTTTATGAAAAAAGTTACATAAATGTATGTTTGTTGGAGTCTAAGTTTTCATTACAGAATACACAAATCTTATAGCAGCTTACACACATCTCCCAGTTATTTATTTCTGTAATAAATCTTGTTTGTGTTTTCGTATAATCACAGAGTCAAAACCGTTTATTTTTTCAGGGGAAATGACATTGTAATTATTGTTTCAAAGCAAGTTTCTTATCTGCGAACAATGTTTCTGACTTGCCGAAACCCAACTGGCATATATCTAATGTAGACAGCGTAAAAGACCTACAACACAACCCAACTGGCACTGATTCTATATAGAAAACCAGCTTACATAAACAATAGTCCATACCGACACATAATGTACCCTACCGAAACATAATGTACCCTACCGACACACACTGTACCCTACCGACACACAATGTACCCTACCGAAACATAATGTACCCTACCGACACACAAAACTCCCTACCGACACACACTGTACCCTACCGACACATAATGTACCCTACCGACACACAGTGTACCCTACCGACACACAATGTACCCTACCGACACACAAAACTCCCTACCGACACACACTGTACCCTACCGACACACAATGTACCCTACCGACACACAAAACTCCCTACCGACACACACTGTACCCTACCGACACACAATGTACCCTACCGAAACATAATGTACCCTACCGACACACAAAACTCCCTACCGACACACACTGTACCCTACCGACACACAGTGTACCCTACCGACACACAATGTGCCCTATCGACACACTGTGTAATCTACCGACACACAATGTACCCTACCGACACACAATGTACCCTACCGACACACAATGTACCCTACCGAAACATAATGTACCCTACCGACACACAATGTACCCTACCGACACACAATGTACCCTACCGACACACAGTGTAACCTTCCGACACATGATGTACCCTACCGACACACAATGTACCCTACCGACACACAATGTACCCTACCGACACATTTTGTACATCACAAGTCCTATGCTGAAAATGAAATCGTCAACGAAAAATCGTCTCCTATATACTTAAGATCTACTTGTATACTTTAGTTTTGTTTTCCATCTTAAACCTAATATATCCATTGTTATAAATGTTCAGTGCACAAATAGATGGATTTCAATTAAGGGGCGACATGTTACCAAATAGATATAATATATAAAATTTATTCAATTTATCACAGTTTCATGCGAAGTACATTCAATAATCTCCTAATTAATCAAACTCGCACTCGTCATTAAATTTGAACGACAGCAGTGCGTTGTATGTTCAGCTGTTTATCTACCACATATTTGTGAAGATGAATTTCCATTTCAGTTTTATTGCTAAGTCAAATCCTTAGCGAAAACTCGATAGAAGCAATTCTGTATAAAATTCTCACGCTGTAACCAAGGATACCATGTATTGTTTACCTATTAGTTTTAAAACAGATTGAAAATATAACTAGTATGTATACTCTAAATCGTATTTATTGTCACATAATCAATAACTGAAGACACTTTTTTAGGCCTTGAACTCACAATCAATGACTCATATACATGGTATATGTAGAAATGATATTTACAATAGTCTATCTGAGACTAAAATAAATATTACAAAGCAGAAATTAATCATTTACAAGTCCGATCGTTTATTTCACTTCAACACTTATAACGTAAAATCTTGCCAAACAGCATTTTTCCTAGGTTTAGATTGATGAAAAAAATTAAGCATGGACCAAATTTGTATATAACAAAATATATTTCCGACGATATCCACGATCTATGAGTCTCTCCTGATCGTCAAAAACAAATATAAAAAAGAAAATAGGTTGGAATCTAATAGTAGGTTTACATATATAATGACCAATTATTATGCAAGTGTGAACTGAAATGAATGTGAACAAATCTAATTAGTATTTAGCGCCAATACCACAATATTAAATCCATCGACTTCAATATATCAAATTATTTTCTTAAATAATTGAAATAACAAACAACAATTTGTAATGTGTCCGTTTGTTCAGTTTTTTTCTGTTTTTTTTTTTTAGTTAAACAAACAAATAAGAGTTGTGGTATAGTATATATTTCGCTGTCAGCTTGGAATCACAGCTAACAAAAGTCACTGAATAAAACTGAGATGAATCGAATGTTTTTCTGTCAAGCTGTCAAAACCACAAGTTGGGGGGAATAAGGAGACACGCCCAGTCAATATTGGCCACGCCTACTCATGAATATTCGGGCACCGCCTAAATCCCTGCCGATCAACCAATCAGAGACACGCCCCCTGTCCCGCGCTTGTCGCTTGACACCATCATTTCGTGAAAGTAATGGAGTTACTACCAGGAATAAAAAGTTTTAACATTATATTTACAAGAAATCCAATGTATGTTTGAACCCAACAATTCAAGACATTGCCTTTCATATCGGAGAAGTGTTTTTTATTAAACGTAGCGGTCCTACAGAGGGAAGGGCTACATCAAGTCGAAATCAGGGCTCCGAGGAATTTCACCAGCGGATGCACCGCGGGATTCAGGCTGCAGTCTACTCATCACAAATACATGTTACCAAAATATGACTTATCATTGACGGAGACACGGAGGTGGAACTACCAGTATTGATATATAAACTGACAACTATCAGGTCACCAAATCCAATTAACGGATGTAGGATTATTTGAAGGTGTTGTTGGATTGTTTGTATGTTGTCGTTGTTGGGATTAAGATATTTTGACAATGATCAACCCATTCATGGATACCTCACACGCCCCCCATTTACCCCCCGGGGCTCTCAAGCTGAGTCCCCCTCAGTCCATGTCCGAGGGTGGGGGATGTCTTGGACAATCTAGCCATCAATTTGGAGCACAGTCTAACGGGTATGGACTACCACACTCGCACGTCGGTGGTTACACTGCAAGGGATTTTTTGTTACGAAGACCTGACATTGGCTTGTCCGAGTCCGGGACAACGGGACATCCGGGTATGTTTGTTCCGTCCTCTGGAAGTTTCCACTCCGCTCATCATCCAGATCCCAGTTCTAACCACGTTCTGTTTCCAGGCCTCCATGATGCTGCAACACATCACAATCCCGGTCACCATGTCAACAGCGGCATGCGTTTTGGTGCTACAGATATGTACTCACGTACGGAACAATTTAATCACATGACCGGACCACGCGCAGACCATTTTGGGACCACACAACCCTTTAACGTTAATCCCATGGGTGCTATGAACCACATGAGTCCCCACGGACCCGGGGCGTTCTTCAGGTACATGCGACCCCCGATAAAACAGGAACACACGTGTCTTTGGATAGATCCGGAGGGGCCGGACCCGAAAAAACCCTGCAACAAGGTGTTTGGTACCATGCACGAGATTGTGTCCCATGTGACAGTAGAGCACGTGGGTGCCGAACAGTCTAGTCACATGTGTACATGGCAAAATTGTGCACGTGAGGGAAAACCCTTCAAGGCCAAATACAAACTTGTAAACCATATCCGAGTCCATACAGGAGAGAAACCATTTCCCTGTCCATTCCCGGGATGTGGTAAAGTGTTTGCCCGCAGTGAAAACCTCAAGATTCACAAGAGAACACACACAGGTCAGTATAGCAAACCAAATGTCCACTGTGATGTCACACTATGAAATCCATACTTTATAACTCGCTACTCAACAATTTGAGTAAGAAATTTGACCCAAACCAAATAAAGGTAACCATTTTCGAACTGTTGTTTAAAAAATATTTTTATTCATTTGGCGACACAGTTTTGAATTGTGACAGATTTCTTGACTGTTGGTCACTGAATGTCTGTCTACATACGATATTAATCATCGTAACAAAACAGAAATGGTTTCCGTTCTAACATTCAACAGCAGAAATGTCTCCCCTTTCTGACGATATTTTGACTAACAGCCTACATTTCTATACATCATAGCATCATATCTCATTAGTTAAACTTTAATTATTTCAAATAGATATATTTGCTATTTTTAAAGATTTAATTAGGAGAATTTCTCCAATTTTAACGTGAATCGTTAAAAACACATCCAGGTCCCTGAGATGAGACTAAGAGACTGTATATTTAATGAATATATATATTTTGGTGTTGACAAGAAAACACATCTACACGTGCTGGTGAAGCATAAAACAATCTCCCGAGCGTGATTTGTTGTAGAACTGTATCATTATATGTCTGAAAGAAAGCAAAACCACATTTCTGTTCTTGAAGACAACAAGAATAGCAAGGACAAAGATAATGAGAGAAAAATAATTGATATGGTAAGGAAAGTGTTGCTAAATAACTCATAATGCTTGTCTCTTTCAAATTACGTGTCAGTGGAAATTTAAGGATGTGTATTTGGATTTTTTTTTGTAAATTAATCAAATGCGAAATAATACAACATAAAGTTTGTTAAATATTCTGTATAGAATTCATGACCGAGAGCAAAAATCATGAATTGGATTTTATACGGAAATTATGAATTAAATGGAAGTATTATAGAAAGCTATTGTAAACATTATCCTGTATATCTAAACAGGAACAATACAACACGTGTATTTAGTGAAGATAATTGGATATAATCAGATTCATATTTATTAGATACTTGCATATTGTAAACCACATCAGAACATTTTCTCTTGGTTGATGATGTCAAGATTAGAGTGTGACGTTTCATGACTACACACGGTCACCTTAAGACAAAAGATTGTCGAGTGAAGGTGACCGTTTAGTTATCGAAACGTCACACTCTAATCTTCTACTGGTTGTGTTATAAGATGAAGGTGACCGTGTAGTCATTGAAAAGTCACACTCTAATCTTCTACTGGTTGTTTTACAAGGTGAAGGTGACCGTGTAGTCATCGAAACGTCACAGTCTAATCTTCTACTGGTTGTTTTTTAAGATGAAGGTGACCGTGTGGTCATTGAAACGTCACACTCTAATCTTGTACTGGTTGTGTTATATGAAATTCTGTTCTATAATGAAAACTATTTCGATAAAGAATAATATATTCTTTGTAAATTCCTTTGATGTCCAGTGGTCCTCGTTGTAATTCTACTAATACAGTTACATTATAAACATATCTACAAACTCAAAATAAAAACAAAACGGTTTGTGACAAAAAGAATAGGCCGAAATATATTTTTACGTTTACATTCAGTAGTGTTTGCCTGTAAAATTTAGTCGACTTTAATCTCTAAAAGTAACAAGATTTTACTATCCCGTTTTAAACAGGTGCGATCTTTAACACACAATTATCATGTTAGATGCTTATGTAAACTAACAATCAGGATTATAATAACGGTTTAGTTAGTTTTGATAATTCCATGTTTATTTCCCGATAGCCGAAGAAAAGTGATAAACCAAATCGGAGTTAATACAGATTTTTGTAAATACCTACTATTTTTTTATTTATTTCTTTAACACATATTGAATAAACGGAAATTGGATCGACGCAGAATGTTTTAAAGAAAAAGTTGTCACAATCAAGACCAAAACATACTGCTTCCAGCAAAGTCTCGAGGATAGTAGCCTTTGTTCCTTCATAACTGTTAGCTACAAGGATCGTCACTCAATAAAAACGAGAATGTTTAATCTTCAATTCAGACAAGCGTTTCTATTCAAGTTTTCACACTTAAGGAAATTAACTATTGGATCGAACACGAGAGCTTGAGGGTGCACACTTATGGAGTCTTCTGTAAGCAATTAAAAAAGGTGTTTCTACTTCTTCTTCAGCTTGAGTTGACTACTTGACAAAAGTTTTGCTACATGTTCTGCGATAGTGGGCAGGTGACCAGCTCATTAGGCGAGTTTACATAACATAGTGCTAAGTACATGCACTTGAAGATGACTTGAGGGTACCTCTATTTTCTATTGATACAATCTATATCATACATGGTATACAAGACAAGACCCCAGTATGATAAAAAAAATACTTGTAAACGAGATAGGACGAAGAGGCAGGATTATTTTATGATCTACGAGGTTGAAATATATTAATATCTAACTTTTAAACTATCTGCATTGCAACTTATTTGAATATAACATAGTTTGAACATTTTCGGGTTTTATAAGATGTAGTTAATCTTCAAAAGATATCTATTTACACGTACTTTAGATGTTCATAAATACACTGGGTACATAAATTTATATATCAGGAACATAGAGATTACGGGACTATATTAGTTTTATACATCCAAAATCAACATATCATATTTACATGAATATTTTGTACCAAAAGACGTAAAAAGTATATCTATCAAATACCCAAAGGATTAATCAAATGTTTGCAGAATACTACAAGATAAATATTATTGATTCCGACACATGTATCGATAAAATTTACATCGATCGATTCCGACACATGTATCGATTATGTTTCAGATTCATGCATCGATTTATCACTAGAGTAAAAATTAATTCAATTAATCTATGAACAATTTATCAATCAATTAGATACTCGTATTGATTTATCAGGTTTCTGTATAAATTCATTAGATAAATTATTGATTTATCAGGTTTGTGTATAAATTCATTAGATAAATTATTGATTTATCAGGTTTGTGTATAAATTCATTAGATAAATCATTGATTTATCAGGTTTCTGTATAAATTCATTAGATAAATTATTGATTTATCAGGTTTCTGTATAAATTAATTAGATAAATTATTGATTTATCAGGTTTGTGTATAAATTCATAAGATAAATTATTGATTTATCAGGTTTGTGTATAAATTCATTAGATACATTATTGATTTATCAGGTTTCTGTATAAATTCATTAGATAAATTATTGATTTATCAGGTTTGTGTATAAATTCATTAGATAAATTATTGATTGATCAGGTTTGTGTATAAATTCATTAGATACATTATTGATTTATCAGGTTTGTGTATAAATTCATTAGATACATTATTGATTTATCAGGTTTCTGTATAAATTCATTAGATAAATTATTGATTTATCAGGTTTGTGTATAAATTCATTAGATAAAGTATTGATTTATCAGGTTTGTGTATAAATTCATTAGATACATTATTGATTTATCAGGTTTCTGTATAAATCCATTAGATAAATTATTGATTTATCAGGTTTGTGTATAAATTCATAAGATAAATTATTGATTTATCAGGTTTCTGTATAAATTCATTAGATAAATTATTGATTTATCAGGTTTCTGTATAAATTCATTAGATAAATTATTGATTTATCAGGTTTCCGTATAAATTCATTAGATAAATTATTGATTTATCAGGTTTCTGTATAAATTCATTAGATAAATTATTGATTTATCAGGTTTCTGTATAAATTATTCAGAGAAATTATTGATTTATCAGGTTTCTGTATAAATTCATTAGATACATTATTGATTTATCAGGTTTCTGTATAAATTCATTAGATACATTATTGATTTATCAGGTTTCTGTATAAATTCATTAGATAAATTATTGATTTATCAGGTTTCTGTATAAATTCATTAGATAAATTATTGATTTATCAGGTTTCTGTATAAATTATTCAGAGAAATTATTGATTTATCAGGTTTCTGTATAAATTCATTAGATACATTATTGATTTATCAGGTTTCTGTATAAATTCATTAGAAACATTATTGATTTATCAGATTTCTGTATAAATTATTCAGAGAAATTATTGATTTATCAGGTTTCTGTATAAATTCATTAGATAAATCATTGATTTATCAGGTTTCTGTATAAATTCATTAGATACATTATTGATTTATCAGGTTTCTGTATAAATTCATTAGATACATTATTGATTTATCAGGTTTCTGTATAAATTCATTAGATAAATTATTGATTTATTAGGTTTCTGTATAAATTAATTAGAAACGTTTATTGATTTATCACATACGCGTTCTTAATCGCCCGATATTTCAGTCTATTTATCAGACACATTTGTTGATATTTCCATATGATTTTAAAAGAATCCCCTAGCATCTTATCAAATGTTATAATCAGATGTTAATTCGTGTGTATTTTTTACGTGAGATACATACATATATCAGTCAACATGTACCAATTTATCAGACTAAAGTACTGATTTGTTAAAGACTAATTCATTACGTATTCGGTAGAATGTATTGTTAAGCCCAACAGTTAATGAACTTGATCAATACAGCAATAATTGTATGTAAACCATGGGGAAAAATTGTATGTAAACCGTGGGAAATAGATTGTATGTAAACCGTGGGAAATAGATTGTATGTAAACCATGGGGAATAGATTGTATGTAAACCATGGGGAATAGATTGTATGTAAACAATGGGGAATAAATTGTATGTAAACCGTGGGAAATAGATTGTATGTAAACCGTGGGAAATAGATTGTATGTAAACTGTGGGGAATAGATTGTATGTAAACCCTGGGAAATAAATTGTATGTTAATCGTGGGGAATAGATTGTATGTAAATCGTGGGAAATACATTGTATGTAAACCGTGGGGAATAGATTGTATGTAAACCGTGGGAAATAGATTGTATGTAAACCGTGGGAAATAGATTGTATGTAAACCGTGGGAAATAGATTGTATGTAAACTGTGGGAAATAAATTGTATGTAAACCGTGGGAAATAGATTG